TTTTTTCCCCCACAAGCCCCACTGCATCTACAGCAAAGGGAGCAAACAGGCAGAGAAGAACTTGGGGCTCTGTCTCAGACCTCTGCTGGGACATCATCCTCAGAGATGGGATCTCCAAAGCAGAGTCTGTGGGAGCAGGACAGTGTTCTCAGACCTTAGGGAGTCTCACATTCAGTCCCTGTTGTCTCTGGGGTCTGAGACAGGAGGATCTGAAGCAATTTAGCCACCATGGAGAGAAGTGACTGGTCCCTTGCACGGAGCAAGGAGGATTTGGGTTCCCACAGCCTGCCCGTGCCAGGAGGATGGAAAACAGGGCTGGGCTCAGCTGTGTCACCGCTGGAGGCTGTGCTGCAGGAGCAGAGCTGGCCCTGAGCCCTTCCCTGCAGCCTCTGTGCCCCAGCTCCCCCGGGGCTGCCTCAGCACACCAGCCTCGCTCAGCACCGACTGCAGGAGGGGACACCAAGGACACCCAGCCTGGCACAGTGCCAGCCCCCAGGGTGACACTGGGCACAGGGGATCCCTCTGCAGAGCAGTGCCTGCACTGGAAACCAGGTGAGATGCCAGGCTGGTTTGTTTGCAGCAGGTGGCACAGACACTGGGAAGGCCTTTGCACTTAGTGATGGCACCAGAAGGTCCCTTTGGTGGCTCTGGTGGCTGCTCCAAACTCGCACACCTTGCAGAGAGAGGGAAGGCAATTCAGCACCGTGCTGGCTCTCCAGAGGAACTGAGCTGAGCCCAGGGCTGCTGAACCAGGGCCATCTGCAGGTGCTGCTGTGCTGGGAACACAGCACCCTGCTCCCCTGCCCAGCACAGCTCTGTGGGCATGCTGGCACTGCTGGGAACAGAGCACCCTGCTCCCCTGCCCTGCCCAGCTCCGTGGGCATGCTGGCACTGCTGGGAGCACAGCACAGCTCCATGGGCATGCTGGCACTGCTGGGAGCACAGCACCCTGCTCCCCTGCCCTGCCCAGCTCCATGGGCTGGCACTGCTGGGAGCACAGCACAGCTCCATGGGCATGCTGGCACTGCTGGGAACACAGCACAGCTCCATGGGCATGCTGGCACTGCTGGGAGCACAGCACCCTGCTCCCCTGCCCAGCACAGCTCCGTGGGCTGGCACTGCTGGCACCAGGCTGCACCCACAGACGTGGGAACCTGCAGGATTTTGGCAAGCGTGGACGTGGGGGAGGCAGAGCCCTGCCCCACCCTGGCAGGCTGGCCCTGGTTCAGGGGATCCTGCTCCTGGCACTCTGAGCAGCCAGGGATGGCAGGGCAGACGCCAGGTTCCAGCAGAGTCCTGGGGAATGATCTTTGGCTTTGCTGGCTCGGGCTGGGGCTGCACAGCAGAGTCTGGCTGGCCTGGCACTGATGCTGGCACTCAGCAAGGCTGATCTTCCCCTGCCTGGAGGGCATCGAGGAATGTTTGGCCACGGGGCTCTCCTGGAAGCAGCACCCACCCTCTGCCCCTTCCACGCTGAGCTTGGGGTTATCCCCAGGGGCTGCTCTCTGACTTTTCACTGTCCCTCACAAAATTCCCCTCTGCTGCTGGGCCTTGCTGCAGTGCTGTGCTCTGCAGTGGAGCTGCGCCAGCTGCAGGGCTGCCAGCCGCAGCCACAGGGACACGGAGGGGTGGGGGACAGTCCCTGTGCTCTGTCACAAGGTGCACAGGTGGGCAGGGAGCTGGGGATGTGGGGCTGTCACCCTTGTCCATCTCCTTGTCCCTGGAGCTGGTGGGATCATGCCCTGCTTCTGTCCTGCTCTTGGTGGGCTGGGACCAGTCCCTGCTCTGCTGGGCTGAGGCTTTTCCCTGGGTGGATCCTGACATGCAGGAGGTGTCCGTGCCGTGGGGCAGCTCTGCACAGCTCCTGCTTCCCCCCTGGCATTTGAGGCTCTCCTGGTGGGTCCTGTCTTCTGCACCCTGGGGGTGCTGCTGTCCCCAGTGCTGCCCCCAGCACCCAGCACACCTGGACAGCCCTGTGCCATCACAGCCAGGGCCACCACCGTCCCAGGAGCACCAGGACAAGAAGGACTGGTGTTGGAGCAAAGGGGCCACCAGCAGGCACCAGGGACAGCCACCGGCCGTGTCCCCCACGCCCATGGAAGGCTTTGCTGAGCAGGCTCTGCAGTTTGCAGTGAAACCCCATGGAACAGGCACTGCCAGGGCAGGTGGCTCCCACTGCTGGGCCCAGCCTGCCTGGGCTGGGGCAGCACCCTGGGGTGTCCAGGAGGGCTCAGCACAGCCTGTGCCCCCTGTGCCCATCAGGTACACGGCCACTGCGGGGCAGAGGGCCAGGACAAAGCCTGGAGCTGCAGGATGGCTGTCCCCAAGCTGGGTAAGGGGACTGGGGGTGATGGGGCAGAGCCCGGGGCAGCAGGACACAAGTGAATGTGTGGGTATGAAGGGGTTGATGTGTGAGGGATGTGGCACAGGGCAAAGGCACCCTCAGTGCTGCCTGAGGAGCTGAGCCAAGGTGTCACTGTGCTTTCCCTGTGTTCAAGGACAGCCCCGGAGGTGTGGAAGGTGCAGGGGAAGGCGAGGAGGAGAAGCGCGTTTGCACTGAGCCCCCAGGCTGGCGGGGCTGGGCTGAGCACCCCGGGTTCATTGCCTGGGTGCTCCCTGCCCTGCTCCTGGGGTTTTCTCTGCCCAGGCATGGCAGAGGGATGGGGTGCAGCCGTCCTGCTCCAGGGGACCCTGAGGGAAGCAGCAAGGATGCACTTTATCAGAGCAGGGAGCAGAGCTGTGGGTGCTCCTGGCTGCAGGAACGCCACAAGGGAACGCGTCCGGATAATCAGGAGGAGCGTGATGGAGGAGAGCAGGCTTCTTCCCCCACAGCTCCTCTCCTGCCCCTGCCCTCCCTTGTGATGCACTTTGGGTGGATAGCGTGGGGTTCAAGCTGTGGCTCTGGCTCCCTGGGAACTCCAGCTGAGCCTCAAGCCACCACAAACTGCTGCAGCCCCTTTGGCCCATGGCTGTGGCAGGCTCTGCCCCTCACGGGGGCTCTGATGGCAGGCAGGCAGGCAGGTCATGGCCACTCACCTCCATGCATGTCCAGGCCACCTCTGTCACACGCACAAGAAGAGCAAACGCTTCATCACCTGGCTGGGGTCTGCTGGAGGGGAGGCTGGGCTAGAACAGGGAGGGGATGGGGCTTCTCCCAAATCAGGCAATAAAACAGTGTTTCCTTCTCACTGTGTGTGTGTGGACACCGTTTGTCCTGTCCCCCTGCCCTGGGCTCTCTGTGTGTGTCCCTGCCATGCTGGGCCCTGTGATTTTCCAGCTTTTGCTGTGTCAGGGCACCAGGCTGGACAATGTGGGGCACGTGTGATCCAGGGGGGCACCACACAGAGAAGTGCAGGCATTGAAACTCACATTTCCACACAACCACAGGTGTCAGCTACCTTCCTACCAAAATAAGGGGCAGGTACCAGCTCAGAGGCCGAGGGAGTCTCCTGGCACAGCTCTGTTGTGCCAGCTGCTCCGGGGGCATTTGCCCAGGTGGTTCTGCCCTGCTGGGAGGCGGCTGTGAGGCAGGAGCAGGGCACTGCTGCCCACAGCTGCAGCCTGGCAGGAACCAGGCAGGGTGGAGTGAGGCCCTGGGCTCTCCAGGCTGGGCTGCACACGCAGGTAAGTGCCCCGCAGGGCCGGGGTGCCAGGTGCCAGCTTGCTGCTCGCCCAGAGGGTGCCGGGAGCTGTTGGGCAGGAGGAGATGCTCTGCTTTGTGTCGGTGTTTCCGAGATGCCAGCTGTACTTGTTGGGTTTCACACATCAATAAAACTTATATTTATAGTGTACTGCCTGCGTGTCTCCTTTCCTGAGAGCCTCGAGGGCACACGGGTGATGGGGAGCATTGAATTTGGGGTGTAAATAAATACACAGGTGTGACCCCTCAGTCTCAGCACCCCTGGGTGGGCTGGCATCTCTCAGGACAGCATCCAGGGGCTGTGTGTGGCCTCGGTGACACAGCTGTCACTCGCTGGGTGGCCAGAGCAGCTCTGCCGGCAGCCAGAGGGCAGGTACAGGTTACAAGTGTGCGTGTTTGTGTGTGTTCACCAGGCACAGCCTCCCCCGGCTCCTTCCCCCGCTGGGGAGGGATCCTCTCCGCAGCAGAACGCGTCCTGCCGGCTCCGGTTGCACGGCCGGGCAGCAGCTGGGGATGCAGAGCCGCCAGATGTGTCCGGAGGACATCCCCGCCTGGCTGCACATCTGGTAAGAGCGCGGCTCCTGCAGTCCTGCCCGTGTTTGGGAGGCCGTGGGGAG